ATAAAAATGCCTAGAGAAACAAACTAATTATTTTTAATATTGATCAAATCATATTCTTGATTTGTTCAATTTATTTAAAACGAATAATGCAGCATACAAATTTATACTTAGATTGCTGAATGATCTACTCAACTATATAAATATAATGAAACAAATAATACTGAATTTTTATTTACTTTTCATTTATTTAGAATTAAAATAATCAAAGTAAAATGACCTACCAGTAAAGAGAGATATAGCTTTTTCTACATCAATACCATATAAACTAAGTCCAAATAAGTTAGGATAATTTGTAGCAAGAAGAATACGTTCCATAGATGTTGATTCAAGTTTAAGCGATTTGATTTTATGATGAATCGAAGGTAAAATTTGCGAACAAAATCGATTAAGGATTGGATCAGGTAAACAAAGATCAGATATCATCCTTTATTACGAACGACATTATTAAGATGTAAATCAAGTTTTTCTAAGTTCAACATTCGATGTAGTAATGGTACAATTAATTGATCATAATCATGTGCATGCATAACACAACATAACGAAAAACATGTTAGATTAGGTAATTTTTCCTAGAAAAATTAATTTATTTCGATAAATTTTATATTGATTAGAAATAATTTACCTCATTATTGATTGTTAAAGTGTCAGAGGAAATGAAACTAATATCAACATGAAATGTATGAAGTTGATTAAAACGTCCATCAAGCAAATGAAGGCAATCAGTGAAACAAACCACATGAACATGTAATTCTAATAGATTTGAAGAAATAACAATTGGAGGTGACATCCTAAATGATAATTGTTGATAGAGAATTGAAGACGGACCGAAATTAAAATATTGTAAGTTGATGAACGTAATAAAGATACGTGAAAATACAATGCTACTGATATCTAGTAAAATGTGTTTTTCATTTCTGTTTATATCGATAACAACTGATGATATCTGATCTTTGTTTACCTGAGTAAAAGTAGTATCGTCTAAATAAAAATAAAAATGTCTAGAGAAACCAATTTATTATTTTTAATATTGATTATATCATATTTTTGATTTGTTCAATTTATTTAAAACTAATAATGCAACATACAAAGTTATACTTAGATTGTTGAATGATCTACTCAACTATATTGTAAGTGTAATAAAATAAACAATGCTGAATTTTTATTTACTTTTCATTTATTTAGAATTAAAATAATCGAAGTAAATAACCTACCAGTAAAGAGAGATAAAGCTTTTTCTACATTAACACCATATAAACCAAGTTCATTTAAATTAGGATAATTTGTAGCAAGAAGAATACGTTCCATAGATGTCGATTCAAGTTTAAGCGATTTGATTTTATGATGAATCAAAGGTAAAATTTGAGAACAAATTCGATCAAGCATTGGATCAGGTAATCGAGAGATTACGTTATCAAATTCACAGAATAATGTTAATTGACTTGCAAAAGTTAAATTATGTGCAATTGTATTAAATCGTTTATTAACCCCTGTTAAAGAATAGAGTACATCGGCATTATATAATTTTTTCAAGATAAGTATAAGAATCTCATCTGGTAAATCATTTATTTTAATCGATAAATGTTCCATTTTTATCAATGCTTCGATATATTTTTTTGTCGTCTAGATGTGAATATATTGTCGTAGGACAGATTCAAATCTAGTTCAGTTTTAAATCGAACTAGGACAGATTGAAATTTTAATTCTTCCTAGTTCACATTTAAATTTTGAAGTGAACTAGTTCACTTCACAATCATTTCAATATCAACTAGTTCACTGTAAAATTTTAATGTGAACTAGGAAGAATTAAAATTTTGATCCGAACTATTCATAACGGACGAGTTCACTTTAAAATATTTGGATCTGAACTAGTTCAGATTAAAATGTGTAAAATTAAAACTTCTATGCACAAATAAACTAAAGGAAACTATTTGAAAATGGATAAGTCTTTGTTTGTTGAAAGTTAAATAGTAAGTTCTACAAGAATAGTCATAAATCTATCTCACCATAATGGAGCAAACGTTTTACACGAAAATCAATGAATTTGTTGCAACACTAAATGTGAAAAAACAAAACAAATATTTAATTAAAAAGGATACATACAATGAAGCGGTCAAAATTCTGCAGGGAACTGAAGGAAAATATCAGCGACAGTTTAAATTCGGGGCTAAGAAGCAGTTTGTTCTGGTCAAAATTGGTGAACAACAAGTTTTATACTCTTCGAAACAAAAGTTACCTGTCGTAACATTTGAAAATTTATTTGAAAGAATCAATGAATGTCACACTGCTGTTGGACATTTGGGGCGCGATAAAACGTGGCATGAAGTAAGCCTTCATGTGAAAATAGACTTCTTGATTTATTTTTTCATTGCTCATTTAAGATTAGTCGTCGCTATTCTTTTGTACCACTGAAAATGGTGAAAATTTTCGTTGAATTATGTGACCAGTGTGCCAGTAGAAAGCTATTTCCAAAACCAATTGTTGGAAAACCAATAATATCAGTTGGATTTATGACGCGTATGCAAATAGACTTCGTGGATATGAGAAGTGTGGAACATAATGGCTTTAAATGGATATTTCATGCAAAAGATCATTTTTCAAAATATTCATGGCTATATCCATTAACTTCAAAAAAAGCTGTTAATGTTGCTGAAGCATTAAAATCTATATTTTATCAATTCGGACCACCAAAAATCCTACAGTCAGACAATGGACGAGAGTTCGTCGCGAAGGTAATTCTTGATTTAACAAAATTATGGCCAGGATTATTAATTGTTAATGGACGACCACGTCATCCAGAGTCCTAAGGACTGGTTGAAAGAGGCAATGCCGTTGTTCAACAGCTACTTGGAAAAAGATTAGATACGAACAGTACTAATGATTGGCCATCTGGACTTGGTCCTGTTATGTTTGCAATGAATACAAGTATTGCTCGAACCATTAATCAAACACCATTTGAAGTTGTTTTTGGGCAACAGCCAAGGATGGACGATCATGTTTGGAAATGCATAAAATCTCATTTGAAAGACAGACAACATGACGAACCAAACCATAACATACTTGAAGAAGATTTACCAGCTGATATATTCGACATGATAAAACAAGTAGATGATATTGAAGGTCCACCAATTGATACTATTGAAGGTCCACCAGTTGATGCTATTGAAGGTCCACCAGCTGATCGACAAACCATCAATTCGAATGAAGAACCTATTTGTACCAATGTAACAGCGGCAGTCAATACAAATGATCAACAAACACAAAGAGAAGAAGAAAAAGATTCAGGTTTCACCATCGATCATGAAGAACTTATTGATGCAACCACATTCATAGTCAATGTTGTTGAATCAAAACCTGAATCAATTGCTGTCAATCGTCACAGACGAATTCGTGAAAATGCTGAAGAATGTTATTTAAACAATGCTCATTCACAACTTACCAAATATAACACTAAGTCATCTAAACGCCAACGAGTCTATCAACTTGGTGATATTGTGGGATTGAAAGTATCTGATGTCGATCGCACCAATACTTCTTCAACGATACTTCCATGTAAAATAGTTGATTTAAAAGATTATGATGGCGAAATTTTGTACAATGTTGCAACCATCAACGGTATTATAGAACAAAGTTTTCAATCAACAGCTTTTCTTGATCTTACAACATCCAATTTTATGGCATTAAGAAATCTCAATACGGATTCATTATCATCTATTACCTTCATACACGCATGTCAACTTTACACTAATTTCAAATCTGCTGGTACATGTAAATGTAATGGTGATTGTAGTACAAACCGATGCCAATGCAAGAAAAAAAATCAAAAATGTTGTTCTAAATGTCATGCTGGTACTGATTCAAAATGTACCAACTGCTAGTGATTTCTTTTTATGTTTATTTTTCCTGTATTCGAAATCTCATTTGTTTCCATGTTAAAAAAATAAAGATTTGTTCATATTTGAATTAATGATGTCAATATTTTAATCTGAACTAGTTGAGATCAAAATAACGTCATATGAACTAGTTCAGATCCAAATATTTTAAAGTGAACTCGTCCGTTATGAATAGTTCGGATCAAAATTTTAATTCTTCCTAGTTCATATTAAAATTTTACAGTGACCTAGTTGATATTGAAATGATTGCGAAGTGAACTAGTTCACTTCAAAATTTAAATGTGAACTAGGAAGAATTAAAATTTCAATCTGTCCTAGTTCGATTTAAAACTGAACTAGATTTTAATCTGTCCTACGACATATATATATATACAAGTCATTTCATCTATTTGACCGATGTCGTCAATGAGAACAATAATATACTTTTTTCTATAGTTTAAATCGACAATGAACAAATTATTGAATGAATGAAAAAAAGAATGAGATTATTTCTCTCTTTGTCATTGTCGTTCAAAATATCTCATATAATAGACATTTATAACTATTGATTGCTATTTGTATCCTGTTAAGAGGATTATGTTTTGTGAGAGGGTGTGGGTGTGGGGTGTGGGTGGGTGTGAAATTGACACCAACACCCACACCCACCACACACCGACACCCAACGTACACCCGCGCCCACCCACACCCACAGCCTGTCGTTTTTGTCGCCGTTCTAATACTGCTTTTCACCCTAGTAAAGAAGTAGCTTAGAATCATCATTAGACACCACTTACTAATAATGTATAATTGATAAGTCCTGAGGAAGTTATCAAAGGATGAGAGTTGTTAAAATTACTTTTCGTCTCACAATATTTTCAAGAAATAACTATGTGAGGGTAACAAGATCAATATGAGCTACCCGCCATGGGTGTGGGTCTTCTATTCATTTACACCCACACCCCACCAAGATCTGGTTATGATATGATTCCGTACGGATAAGACTTAGTCACGATGGGTTTTCGCTGGGATCTTCTTGTTTCCGTCCGTATCCGATATAGTTACGTAATTCTTTCAGTGACGCAAAGAGTTCAGAAATGACCGATTTCGGCACGATTACTTTCCTCCCGAAATACAACTTTCATCTTCAGAGTATTTTTCTCGCAGAAATTAAACATGAATCTGGCTGAAAATGGGTTGTTTCTGGCGGGCTCCTGTAGTATCATCAGGGACTAGAGTCGTCGGTCTGGGCCACTTTATCACAGTTTTCTTCAGCGAAATTCATATAGTCTTATAATGTTTGTCTGATTACGTTAATACCAACAGATAGGGAAATCTCCTTTCAAACATATAAAGAATGATAAGTGGTTTGATTGCTACAAGAAATCACGAAATCAGTTTGCTCTCCGTTGGACAGCACACACACCGACGCCGATGCCCATACCCACACATCAAACAACAATCGTATCTGACACCCGCACTCACACCCTCACGCAGCTGCATGCACACACACGATATTTTTTGTGCAATGTAGATATCTTAATATGTAAAGTGAACAAAGTTAATGGTGGAGAAAGTTGCGTTTAGTAAAATAGATCAACTAAAGCGGAGAATTGATATCAAGTGTTTTTAATATGATATTTATGTGTGTCATTCAGTTTTCTTCTGAAGATTCGTCGGGTCCAGCGTAGATTATGTAATTGGTTATTTGATAAGGGGGCATGATTGTGATTGGTGTTCCTGCTCCTGCTACTGCTGTTGCACCGTTGATGTCATGCGTATGTGTGCCGGCTGAATGAATCGAAATTCTTATGTAGTCGCGCTGGATTGTGTGGGAATGTTCTGAGCGATCACTTCCCACACCTGTGCCAAACATGCCCCATCCTCCCCTATTATATGAGGCGCTACCGGTACGTCCTCCATGATCATGACCTGAGTCACTGTATGTATGGGAATGTACTCCTGATGCGCTTAATGATAGTGATCCTTTTCCGTGTGTATGTTTTGGAAGCTGACCCTCAGTCAAAATGATTGTTTCTGCACCTCCCTGTAGTGGTAAAGGATTATGTCTCATTTCTTTGTTGACACCCAGAGGAAACCGATATCGAAAATCTGGTAGCTTGAATGTGCGAATAGGATCGCTTGCGCCATATAATGTGCCAATAACCTTAAACAAATTATTGTATTTCGTACGCGACAACTCCGATCCATTGCACCGAAGCCATCCCGGTGGGCTTATGTCTCCAGCAAACATAACTATAGTACCTATTGGAAAGTTCGCCAAATATTGTTCTGCTGGTTTGGCTGCAGCCACAAAGAGGAAAAGTAGTAATGGTATTGATGTCAGCATAGTTTTATGACACACTTTGAACTATTAGAATATCTAAAATTGCTTTCGTACATAAATATAAGTGAGACTGTGCTTATTTGGCGAAGTATAGTGCTGGCACTTCAAAGATTGATGGGCTTTCATTATTCACGTTTTGTAACATGATTAGATAGAGCACATTCAGCCACTTAGGAATCATTCAGTCTAGACTTTTCTATCTGTTCTTAGGAAAAACATTGAAAAACTCACTTAGATAGCTACGTGGCTTTTCTAAACCTGAGTCCAGTCGGGTTCGTGTAGGCTCTGGCTCGAGATTCAGGTTTACAAAAGCATGAACCCGCATCTCATAGGGTTACATACGTTATATTCTGACTTAATATCATTTACATAAATACAACTAAAACTATTTCATATAGCTGAATATTTTTATGTTACTGTTGATTTGACGATTTTCAATTGCGAGTTTTGTTGATAAATTAATCGTCCAAGTTCATTTTTCGTTAGCATAATGCTCTCGTGAGCTAAGCAAAAAACTTTTTACATATTAGGCATCCAGTGGTGGAACAGTAAACAATAATAAATAACTGTAAATAGTTCAGATATAGATCCAATTCGGGCCAGGCCTGGACTCAGGTAAATAAGTTTAGCTTTGGTCGGGTTCGGATGCACAAAAACGTGCATTCGCAGCTGCATATACCAACCTCTAAGAAAAGATCCACAGTCAGTGTCATAAGCGTTGCAGACTGGAAGTCTTCATTCTGTCATGTTTTGGATTTTGAGAACTGTTTGATTCTGAATCTCTATTCAAAAAGTCTATGATGAGCTCAATTAAGTCCAAAAAGATGAAACACGTGCGAATATCTGTTAAATTAGCAACAGGATTTATAGTGTTTCAGAATACACAGACAGACCTCCTGAGAAGAGAATTCAAATCTTCGCCTGTAGGACGTAAAATGGATTTTTTGTGATTATAACCACTATGCGTACATTGCACAAAAGAAGGCGTATGAAGGATCTTGAAAGCTATTCACCTGAACGGATGAGAAAAACCTTGACTATCGAGCCCAAAAAAAATTCATACTTGCGTATACTGTAAAAAAGCTGTAGAATAATCGACGCTTGCCCTTTAAAAAATCTTCATAAACCTTTGAAGGGTTTATGCCAATGTCATATGCCCTTCAAAGGTTTATGAGCCGAAGGATTTATGAGCATCAGGGTTTATTAAAACAGAAAGAGCATATGATGCCTTCATAAGGGTTGATTATTCAATATTATCAACGGAACAATTTATCATTATACGAATAAGGGTATATTAATGTACTGTTTTAGAAAAGTGTTTCTTATTCTACGATGAATGGCTGGTTAGTATACAGTCTTAGCGAAGCATTTCTTATTCTATGACTAAGGATAGATTATTCAATGCTATCAGCAAAATGGATTATTATACACCGCAGTAGAGTAGATTGATGTGTGGTCTCACCAAAAGGGTTCATTATTCGACGATAAAGGGTAGACTGACCTATGCTATAACAGTGAATCGTCGAACAATCAATCTTCGTATCGTAAAAAACATTTCCATCGAATTTCGAGTGGTTTATGAGAATGTCATGTACTCTTAAAGAGTTTATAAGTCAAAAAGGTTTATGAGAGTAGAGGTATATGAAAATAAAAAGACTGTATGATTTCTATTTTTAGATTTATTATTCTATGATTTCAGGCATCAAGGTATATGAATCCATGGTTTCACCAAAACGGTTTAAGATTCTACATCCAAGAGTAGATTAATATACGATGTCGCCTAAAGGGTTTATTATTCTATGTCATAAGTAGTGCCCGGCGTGACCAACTTTTTTGGTCACGGTCACGTCACAGTCACGACAAGTTGGTCACAGTCACGGTCACGGTCACGGTGAGCCCAGGCCGTGACCGTGACCGTGAGTCACAGCCCTTTTCATGGTTTCTCAACATGAAAAAAAACTTTCCAGAAAGAGCTATTGCAATGTTTCCTTGCCCGATTCTTTATGGATTCAGTCAGAATCCTTCCAGGATTCGCTTTTTCCTGAGGGAACGGCGAAATCCTGTAAGAAGTGTGTATTCACGAAGTTTCAAGATCCTAACAGAGTTCGAAAAAGGATTACATCAGGATTCTGAACGGGTCTCCATTGTTGTTGAACTTGGAATAAATTTGAAAACAATATGTGGCTGTGGGTGTGAGCAGAACTTCTACT